GGATACGTATAAATGTCAACTTTTCAGTGCAAAACCCCAAACCGAGATTTACCAACCCCAAAACCGAAATTGTGGACTGCCGGGTGTCGGGTTTCGGGGTTCGGGGGTCCCGGAACTCGGAACTCGGTATGTGAGACAAAATATATTTCATACACGGGTAAGTCAATGTGTCCGTCAATCAACTCGATTGTAAAGTATATTTTATTGATCTCCCCAAATTTCCCAAGTTCCGAGTTCCGAGTTCCGGGACCCCCGAACCCCGAAACCCGAAACCCGGCAGTCCACAATTTCGGGGTTCGGGAGTTGGGTCCCGGAACTAGGAACTCGGTATGTGAGACAAGCAAAATATATTTCAAACACGGGTAAGTCAATGTGTCCGTCAATCACCCGAACCCCGAAATTGTGGACTGCCGGGTTTCGGGTTTCGGGGTTCGGGGGTCCCGGAACTCGGAACTCGGAACTTGGGAAATTTGGGGAGATCAATAAAATATAATTTACAATCGAGTTGATTGACGGACACATTGACTTACCCGTGTTTGAAATATATTTTGCTTGTCTCACATACCGAGTTCCTAGTTCCGGGACCCAACTCCCGAACCCCGAAATTGTGGACTGCCGGGTTCGGGTTTCGGGGTTCGGGGGTCCCGGAACTCGGAACTCGGTATGAGACAACAAAAATATATTTCGGGGGTTGGAGGTTAGTAAAATGTTTATAGATATACGGAGGTTGATAGAAACATGTTTGAAAAATGTCGTTCGTCTCAAATGTCAAATCCTGAGTTCCGGGCTTTGGGACTCGGCACCCGGCACCCGGCACTCGGGGTTCGGCACTGAAAATTTGACATTCGGGTGTTAGGGTGTAGGGTGATATCTACCTCAATCTACAGTTTCGAGTTCTGGATATCGGGACTGATTATTGAATCATTCAATTGTGGCATAGGTAACATGCATTGAAAAAGATTTATGTACATCTATCACTGAGCAATTATGTAGCCATTGCAACCTCCTCACCAGGAAGATCAACCTTCCCCTCAACATCCATATCCTCATCAGAGGAATCATATTCTGGCAGGAGGTTACCTTGTTCATTAGGGACCACAATATCGCCGGAGGATTCTGGCAAGAGGTTGCCTTGGTTCATCCGGGAGCACAATTTCACCGGAGGATTGTGGACCCTCAGGCTGAACTTGGGTGGGCTCAACATTGAGACCTACCATAGCAGATCCATCCTCAACCATCAAGGGTGTGGGTTCCATGACTGACATGTCCAAATCAATGAGGTTGGAAAGTGTGGAGGGGAGGGGTGAAATGGACGGGGGGGGACCAGATTGATCAAGCAAGATTGTTGCATCGGCCGGTGTGTCCGGAAGTGAAAATGAAGGGTGCGGGTCGACCATTGTGCGCCGGAGGCTCTCATGGAGGCGTTGGAGGGTATCAATCTTAGCATCCTGCTCCTGCACCCGAGCCTCAAGAATAGCGATGCGAGCTGCACCATCCCGAATCGCGATTGCCATGGAATGGAGATCCGGCATGGGAACATCTAGTGCTGCACGAGGCACTGCGGAACTCGAAGACCGAACAGCTAAGTAAAAAATAAGGTCAGCCGGTCATCAAAAGTGTGGGTGACTTACGAGCTGGCGCAGCAGGTGCAGGTGCAGGTGCAGGTGCAGGTGCAGGTGCAGGGTGCAGGTGTCTTCTTGGTAGTGATGGTCTTGCTGCGACCACGTGACTGCACCTGGGGTGTACTTGCAGCAGGGATGGCCGGAGTTCGGGACGGGCCACGAGATTGACTACGAGTCCGGGCCCTTGACCTGGAGGGAGACGGAGCAGTGGATGGAGCAGGGGCAGGTGTCTTGGAACGCGTCCGTCCCGTGGTAGACTTCCCTCGGGTCCGTTTGGGCGGGGATCCCAGAGATGCCGGGTTGCATTTGATCTTCTTGGTGGAGCAGCGGATGCAAGACAGGCAGGGGAGGCTGGACCTCTTGTCCAAACGAGTCGCACAGGGCCAATTCTCCTTGACGCAATAATGGCAGGGGTTGTTCTGTGGTATCCGTTAGTAGATGTACTAGGGGAATTAATTGAGCACTCACTGGGCCGGGAATGGTGATATCAAATGTGGTAGTGGCCGGAGGGTCACCGTCCGAAGCGCTGGAAGTATCACCAGTGGACTCCTCAACTTCCGGACGACTGCCGGAGGTTGCCTGATAAATTGTAAGTACACATGTGAGTTCCGGGCGAGCTTGTAAGACTTACCCGAGCCTCCGGACGACTGATGGGAGATTCCTAATGCGATGGGCATGAGTAAGAATAATACATGCGAGTTCCGGACCTGTCCGGAAAACTCACCATGACCTCCGGACGTTTGCCGGCAGTCAGCTGTGGACACATGAGCATATATATGAGTTCCGGACGACTAAATCAGACTTACCGAAGCAGGCCCAAATGATTGCTTCTTGGGGGAACCAGGTGAACGAGGCGACTGGGGTTTCCTTACAACAATGGTGGAGAGCTGGGAAAGGACGACCTCTGGCACTCCACGCGAAATCGGCTACAACAAATTGAGAGCATGTCACAAATGAGCCAGAACACATACCTGAACAATTGGGTCTTCATCATCTTCCGACTCCACAAACGGCTTTGACTTGGGGAGTCCAGTTGACTTGACACGCTTGTGACCCTTCATCGCCGACTTCGGAGGTTGGGAGGAGTGTCCAGAAATCATGGGGGACTTCCTCTTGTTGCTCCCTCCGACTTCCGGCTCCAAGTCAACAGAAATGGCCTTACCTTTCCCTTTGTCCCGGAACTCGGAGGTCGTCTTGCCGGAAGGTCCGGCGACATTGCCGGCGACGACGGGAGGTGAATGACAGTGGGGAAGGGACAGGTGCGGGGGAAGGGACAGGTGGAGACGGAAGATTGACAGTCAGTGGGCCAGTGGAAGGATTAGAAACAACAGGGAGATCACAGGAATTGTCACCCAACGCCTCCCAGGCACGGACCTGCTTGCGCCAGGCGTGTCTAGCCACCCGGGGATCATCATGGCCAATGCTGTGCCAGTTGGGCAACACCTGGGGAGTCATGGAACGCACCCTCATCAGCTCCTTAGAACAGGAAGCCACAATGCCAGGGATGTAATCCCCTTTCTCATGCACCCGGATGATGTCAGCCTACCCGGATATTAGAAACATGAATGGTAAACTAATTTAATAAGTGCAACTTACCAACAGATTGGTGACCTGCCTTGCCAGAGCAATGTGGATGTGCACTGAGCCGGCCGGGACGTGCCGGGCGCCGGCAATGACGCCCACAAGTTGAGCAGTGGATGCCTTGAGGTCGGCCAATGAAGATTGAACTGGAGTAGACATTTGGATTGAGTTGACAGATGTGAGAATGTTGAAAGCAGGGTGAAATCTGTTATCACTAGAATGAAGTTTCAAAGAAACAATACAATTGAAGGACAATGTTGAAAATCGTTGATTGTTTGTCTTTGTTTGGTCATGGTTCAACTTTCGGCAATCGCCGGCCATGTGTTGAACTTCGACGTTATCTGTTATCAATCAGTTCATCAGTTCATCAGCTCATCAGATATCATGAGCTCTCAACCTGGGGTCAGATTTCATGACCCTCCGGTCACTGAATACACCTCAATGGATGTGGATGAGACCTCCCAGTCCCGGATGTCCCTTGGTATGTTTTGTTTTTGCTGATTTCAGTGAATTGATCTTACATGGTTTAGATCCATTAGATGATATATACCTTGGGCCGGATGATGAGTTAGACTCTGATTCTGGGTCATCCGGTGGTCTGGATTCGTTAAATGCGATTCCCGGTATGTTTCTCAATTCAAATGTACATATTCTACATGTGCAAATCCATCACATACTTCCAGATCCATCATATCCGGCCCTGGCAGATGGACTGGCCCTGTACGATGACCCGGACTTATATCTTGGTCCGGAGGATACCTTTATTTCGTCTGATGATGCTCCGGCTGTACCCGATTTTCCTATGGCTGGTGAGGTTATTCTTTTCATCTCATGTTCATTTTTCATGGCATTTCCCCAGTGAATGAATCGACTCCCGAACCTCATCCGGCCACTCCGGCTGTACCAGAGGCACCCATACCTTGTACGTGTATTCATATCATGTCATGTGTTCTATTCATGTTATCTCCCAAGCGAATTCAGAAACTCCCGAACGTCAATTGCCCGAGCCGGAACTCAACAATGACGAACTGCGTGCCATGGTTCAGGAGTTCATGCCAATCGGATCTTATGATCAAGCTGAAAGTATGTATACAACAGTTGATTATTTATCTCTGCTAATGTTCTGCAAGTTCAAACAATTGTAGATCGCCTGGGTGATTACGAACAGAGTCATGGAAATCTTCCTGCCCCTACAGTAGCACAACTTCTTGAGGCTGACAGACCATTCAGGATGGCATGGGCGGAAACATGCGACAAACTGCGGAAAGCAGATGCTGACCTCCGGAGGATGCAACGGGTAAGGGAGTCAACCTCCGAAATGCTGAAGGTATTAGATACCCTCATTGAGTTCTTTGAGGACTCAAGTAACATGTAAATATCAATCAATGTCTGATAGTAGACATATTGCAGTATACTTTACCTACTCAGTACTTAGTCCTTCCTCGCTGCCCGGTGTTCTGTGCTCGGTACTCCGTACTCGGTACTCGGTGCTCGGTGCCCGGTGATCGGGGTTCGGTACTCGGGGTTCGGTGCAGTATACTTTGCCTGCTCAGTACTTAGTACTTGGTACTTGTATACTTTACCTACTCAGTACTTAGTCCTTGGTACTTGTATACTCCACCTACTCAGTCCTCGCTGCCCGGTGTTCTGTGCTCGGTACTCCGTACTCGGTACTCGGTGCTCGGTGCCCGGTGATCGGGGTTCGGGGTTCGGTACTCGGGGTTCGGCGGGGTTCGGTACTCGGGCCTTGGTACTGGAGATTTGGGATTTAAGATTAGGTCGTTAGTACTTTGACATATACACAATAGCACATATGACATTACACATGACGGCAGGAAGATATATCTACATTAAGTGCGTCCCCGTGCTCTGGTTACTCTAGGTGTACTGTCTACTGGCATTTGCAACTTACTCCGGGTCGTCCTCGTGGATGGTTCAACTGTGACTTTCTTGCCCCGCCCCCTTTTCTGTGCCGGCGGCGTGATACTCTCTTCCATTTCAACATCCTCTCTAACTTCTCTGGTCGCGTCTTCAGTTAACCCAGCAAGGAGGTCGCCCATTCTTGATGTCAGTAATGCACCTTTTTTGGCTGGCTTGGCCCGGCGGGCTTTGGAATTGCACGTGGGACTGCCGTCCCTTTTGGTGTAGGACCTCCCGTCCTGGGTTTCATCAGCGGATGTCTCCCGTCAGCCAGGTCATCATCCACATCATCCTCCGTATGATTAGTGGCACTCTCCTTATCACTCTCGGCTTCTGTCGACGAATCCCGAGGCCCTCGGATGGTAACCCTCTGCTGCTTTCTCACTATACTAGTCTGAGGAGAGGGCGACTTGCCAGATATGACAGATGGTACCATGTCCCCATCTTTGTTCTTCCATGCTTTGAACAGAAATGTGGGACCTTCTCCTGTTTCCTGCCGAGCATGCCAGAAATGGAGCAAGGCAGTCGTGTCCCAATTTTGCAGCTTTGAAGGCTCCTTCAAGTCAACATCTGCCGGAAGATACGTCCGGGCCACGAAGTCATCCTGACTTTGTACAATGGCACTCCATGGTACAACCGCCTTGTCCTTCCCGGAACATATCCCTGTGTCCATGCATTGAACAATTTGTCAGATGATGCAACGAGAAACTCACGATAGTGCGATGTAAGAAAGGCCCTCACTATGGCCTTCTTCTCCTCAAGTTTCGTGTCAGTGATGTCGGGAAGGAGTGGCATACCCTCCCCGTCCATTTCGAGTTCGAAAGCTGGTTTTCGAATTCTTTTTCGACCTCCCTTGACCTGACGTCCTCCATCCCGTGCCCCGGCACCTATCATCGTGATGCTCAACATGTTCAATCTGGTATACATGGTTCAAACACTCACCGAACTGTTCCTGCGCGTACTCCTGCCACACTGGCTCAATGTCCTCCCAGTCCTTCGTCTTCATGAAGCTGTCCCCGTCTCCTAAGGCCTCGTTATCATCATGCCTGCATGAATATTTTCAGATGAAAGATCCATGTCAATGGGTAAATGTACTCACATCCCGAACAGCACCTCTCCCTTTTCATTCTTCCAAGCCGACATCACAAAAACTCTCATCCCACATTGCCTCCACATCTCGTTCGAAAAGTGCTCCATATATGCCGGACCCTTCTTACGGGCGACTTGTGCTTGTATCTCCGGAGGCGGACAGTTGTTGGACCACTCTTCCGCTGTTTCTTTCGCCTTCTCCAACTCGTCGTCGTCCAATTCAGCCATGACTCTCTTCACCGCCGCCTGATAATGTTTGAACATACCAGGATCTCCGGGCTTTACCCCCGACTCGTCCTCAATCCTCTTCAGCACCTCTTCGCGTTTCTGCTGGTAGACCACCATCCTGGGCGTCCATTTCCTCCCATACTTGATGGTGTCCTTCCTTTCCTTCTTTTTCTTGTTGTTGAACAACCAAGTCTTGTACACCTAAGATTTGATGAAAAAATGTGATGTTGAAAATTTAGTTTTTCAACGCAACAAAGGAGCATCACCTGCTTCCTCTTTTTCCATTGTTTTTGGTCCACCTTAGGAGCAAACAACCTGGCCGCCCTTGCTATGGCAGTGAAAATCCCCCTCTTCTCACTCCTTTTGGCGGCAGTCCACTCAGGAAGGTAGTTCTTCAACTCCAAAATCTCCTTGTCTGTGAGCTTCTGAGACTGTGGTTGACGCGCCCTGTGTCTTCCGGAAGTCATGTTGGTGGAATGACCTGTTCTTGCCATAGTGAATCAGAATGCAGAACGGGCTGAGGATTTGCAAGGTAGAAGTATTAATGAATTGTGCGAAGTTGAACTTAGAGCAAAGCCTAATAATCGGTTAATCGGCCCATATTTGAAAAGAATCCATTAATGGAAATGAATTTGTAATGAGCCAACAGGACTGCACAGCATCATATTGCAATAACAATTCATTACACCTGAGCTGATGCCTTGCTTGCAACATTAGTAAACAAGATGAAGATAGGTAGATGCACCCCAGTGCAAAAATCTCACAGGGTGGAAGCAAGGGGCAGCAAAGGTAGGAAGACTTGGGTCAAGGTCCCACTTGCAAGCACGAGGCGACATGCCTACAGGTCCATGCCTAACTCTCCCCCAGAATCACCAACAATTCAGCCTGTTGAGGCACCACCTCCTTGGGAAGACTTTCCTGACAATACTTATGAGCAGGACCAAGGCTCCTTTGAGCCTTTGCAACTCCCAAAAACCATGGCAAGTTCATGTACAATGTTGGAGTGTCATTTAAACTATGGCTAAGCATTCAAAAATACAGAGTCAAAATGACTACCTCAGGCAATGGCTGCCAAGGCAGGAATCATATCTACATCACCTCCTTGATCGAGAAGCTCCACCAGAAGACAGGAGATGCATCATCTGCGAACAGGATGGGGTGTACAAATGTCAAGATTGTCTTGGCGAGCCACTCTATTGCACGGGCTGTTGCAGGAGTCAACATCGTAGCAATCCTTTCCACTGGATCAGTCAATGGAATGGGCGATTCTTTGAGCGGAGTTGTCTCGCTCATGTGGGACTCATTATACACCTTGGCCATGATGGCAAACAATGTCCGGAGGTCACTGATCGGTGGAATTTGTTTGAAGAAGATGAACCTGAAGACCTGCTCGAGCCTGAAGATCTGCCATTTGTGTCCGGACCCGAGTTCCAGCCAAAGGAAAACACCATGGTCATTGTAGACAAGTCCGGAGTTCATCGCCTGGAGATTCGATGTTGTGAATGTCCGAATGCCATGAGTCCGGACATTCAAATGTTTCAACACGGATTTTTCCCTGCATCTTTCAACAGGCCAAAGACTGTGTTCACCTTCAGAGTGCTCAATGATTTTCTACTGGACAGCCTTGAATGCGGCACCTCGGCGATGAACTATTACAGCAAGCTCCGGCGAATGACCTCCAGCATGTTTCCACACCTTGTTCCGGTAATGCCTTACCCTCTTCATCTACTGGACATCATATTGACAAAGCACATTGCAAGGACCGATACAGAGAGCTCATGAGGGTCGCTCGACAGTGGAGGCAGTTGAAGACAATGAAATGGCATGGCTTTGGCCATCGTTCTGATAACCCGAGCACAGGAGAACTCGCATTATTTTGCCCGGCGTGTCCTCAGCCAGGGATTAATGTGCTGTTGTCAGAGGATGAATCGCTTGATGAGTGAGTCCTATTCTCAACCAATGTGGCCTCCATAATAATACTAGCGATCCAAGCTGGAAATACACCCGGTCATTTGTGATGGACGGAAATTTCAAAGCCGAACATCTGCATCCCATTAAGCCATTCGATGAAGTTTGGCTATCCGATGGGCTTGGATTCATGGTAGGAAAGGACCGGTATAAAATGCATCTGGCAGAGGCTGCTGACACGGTGGAAAAATCAAGCTGCAACAACCACCGGGCAGTAAATCAAGCTAATGCTGCTCGGCACAAGCTGGAGTCCACCGGTATCGGGGGGAGTTGCCTGTGCCAGACACGGTTGCTTTGTCCCTCACTCCATGGTGGATTTTCAGAAAGGCGAAAGGCAAGCCACATCCACCATTCCTCATTCACGAGTTAACCATGGGTCACTTGCAGACAAATGAACATGGACTACGCCCTTTGCGAGGCTTCCCGGCACAACATGGAAGGCATCACCAGGGCTGTCACCTTCTATGATATTAATTGTCAATACAACAAACACTTTCGGGTTCGGGTGGATCGAAGTCGATTTCTAGACATGGCACCACAACTAACCATCATTCCGGAATTGGGTTTGTGGCACATTCATGGCCATCAGGACAGCTGCTATGTCCGATATGCTTCTAACTTTATTGAAGGCATTGGTCGGATCGACGGAGGAGATCATGGAGACGCTATGGGCACGGCTCAATCTGATTTCCCCTGCTGCTCGGGGAATGTCATCTCCCCACCTGAAAGGAATGCCTTGATTATCAGATGAATGACTCCAATTTCTGCAAGATGATTCGCATGAAAAGGACTCTATGCCGGAAATACAAGCTGGCGAGGAATGGCATCTCGGAAAGTGGAAAGGCATTCGACAGACTCGATGAAGCAGCACCCTCACATTTGAAGACAGAATGGTTAGCCAGGGAGAGGATAGCTCAGTCAAGCAGATTGAATGATCCTGCGGCGATGGATGAATATGAGATCAATATAAAAAGGGTACGTTGAGTTCCATTGTCTCCATTGAGGTCGGAATTAATATTGCACTCAGCACCAGCAAAAAGGAGATCGAGCTTAGATTATTAGAGGAGGGTAACGCCCGCAATGCGCACCCTCTCGCAGATCTGTGGCGACGTGGATATCAACAGGGTTAGCAATTGAAGAGGCTCAGATTGCATTGCTCATCGAGGTCCGAAGGATCGGAAGAAGATCCACTGAGACACAGAGATTAGACATTGCCCGTCAACGCGATCGGCTCCAAGGCCAGATAGATGGATTTGCTCGGTCTGCTCTAACACATCTCGGGGAGGGATTTGATGCAGATGATGAACCTGAGGACTTGAACGTAGACATTCTAGATGATCTCGATGATGACCCGGCGGATTTCACAGAGACATCTCATACATGGACAAACTCTCCCGAGCTCACTGTAATCCCGTTGCCATCAAACCTGGGTGTTGATAGATGCAGACGATGCATGGCAGAGGATCTGATTCCCCTGGAGATGTCTCTTCGTGAAGGGCAGGCCAATGATGCCCTTCACAATCTCCGCATTTACCTTTGCAACAAGGCCATCCTGTTCCGAACAACCGTTCGGCAGGCCAAATCCCAGGCCCTGAAAACTCGAGCTTGGTCCCAGGTGACGTCGGTGCAGCAGGCAGTCTCCCTCCATGCCAGCATATATACAAAGACCAGGAAGCAAATGATGAAACTTGAGCCGGGGCAAGACCAGCTTCAGAAATACAAACCCCTGCTTCGCGAGCAACTCAAAATCAGCACTGCAGTGGGCGACCCAAATGCCCGAGGTCAACGAAATGAATCTTTGGCTTGGTTTTGGTCTGTTGAAGTCGACCTCGGGGGTCCTGATCAATCGTGGAATGAGGAATGTGAGTTCCTGCTTGCATGTCATATCCCACGGTTACCTGACTGGACCCATGCCAAGTTTACCGAGTCCATTGGCTGCGGGCAAAGGCACTACGAGATCGATGGAGGGAAGAAATGATATTGGTCAAATTGGAGATGGATTGGACATGTAAGTTCTTTTTGTGGAAAGCAACCCAATGGGGCGACCACATGCAGGAATCATTGGAGAAACGCCTTCCGGGTCACGGATGCTATGCCGGAAGGCAATCGCGAATGTATTCATTGCTCGCACAGGATGCGCAGGCAGCTTTTCAAGACCTACAAAATGTGTTGATAGAGGCTGGAGATGAATGAACATTGTTTTCTCATGAAGTCCCTTTTTCCACATACATAATTGAGGCCCGGGAATTGTCCGGGTCAGCCCATGTCGGAGTTTGAATTTCGTATCCATCCATCAGTGATTCTTATCTTCACATCTTCACCATCTTTCACTTGCATTGCCAGCAGCCATAGTCCTGTATTAGCCATGCCTGCAACTCCTGCATCCACTTCTGGCACTCTGAATGCCGGAAGCCATTACCGACCCCTGAAGCTGAGCCTTGGAACTATTTCCTGCACATTGGCAATGGCTGGATCGCGGGTCCGTGCATGCATCTCTCAATATCAGACAGGAAGCTGCCAACAATGGTCTATCTTCTGACCGGATAAAGTATTTTAAAGCCGAGCTGCAATGGGAGATGAATGTATGTTACCACTGCCCTGATGACTTTGTTGGTCAATGCTAAGAATTTGAGCAGACTTTTGTCACACCACTCCTGCAGTACTCAGCTTCACAGAATATCGTGTCGGTTCTTCCGGTCCCTGTTCGCTTATATCCTTAAGTTGTATCCCATGCTAACCTGGAACACGGTTCCGGACGACGTCTTTTCATTCCACCTCCTTTCATTTGATGATGAGGCAATTGCAGGACATCCGTCCCGGATTGTGTTTGCATATACATGTCCATGGTGGATGGGAAACACCACAATCCCGGATCAACCATGGCAGTGGGATGAAATAATGGCTTCCTGCGTCTCTCACTACCAGTATTGGGCGGTAAGATGTTAGCTGAATTGCCTTGATTGATGACTTATCTGTTCTAGCTTAATGTTGAGGATGATGCTTTGGTTCTTCCAGAGAAGTTGAGAAACACTTCGACTCCACCACTTATGGGACTGAGGTGGATTAAAGAACGCATGGAAGCATTGATGGAGGAGCAAGATGAGGGCATCAAAGCCAAGATGGCAGAGGTGAAGATGTACACTGACATGTTAGAGAAATTGAGGAAAGGCAAAGGAGTGTAGTCCCATTCAGTGTTCATTGTATACAAGATGTAAAATATTCTATGCATTCAAAAATCTTGCACCCGAGTCCCGGAAGCCCAGGTCCCGAGTCCCGAATTTCGGAGTTCGGGGTTCGGCGACCCGGAGCTCGGCAACTGTGTTGGGTGTCAGGGTATCCGGAGCATTGGAGATAGCATGTGTCAGTATTTTGCGTTTCATGGTTCATGTTTGGCTGACACATGCGATCTCCAATGCTCCGGATACCCTGACACCCAACACAGTTGCCGAGCTCCGGGTCACCGAACCCCGAACTCCGAAATTCGGGACTCGGGACTCGGGTTTCGGGACTCGGGACTCGGAGCTCGTGACCTGGGACTCGACAGTGTTCTGAATACCGAGTCCCTGACGCCCGATTCTATAATCACGAAAGATTCCATAATCACGAAAGATGAACCATGAAACGCAGAATACTGACACATGCTATCTCCAATGCTCCGGATACCCTGACACCCAACACAGTTGCCGAGCTCCGGGTCACCGAGTCCCGAAGCCCGAGTCCCGAGTCCCGAATTTCGGAGTTCGGGGTTCGGTGACCCGGAGCTCGGCAACTGTGTTGGGTGTCAGGGTATCCGGAGCATTGGAGATAGCATGTGTCAGACATGCATGCATCTGACACATGCGATCTCCAATGTTCCGGATACCCTGACACCCAACACAGTTCGAGTCCCAGGTCCCGAGTCCGAAACCCGAGTCCCGAGTCCCGAATTTCGGAGTTCGGGTTCGGTGACCCGGAGCTCGGCAACTGTGTTGGGTGTCAGGGTATCCGGAACATTGGAGATCGCATGTGTCAGCCAAACATGACCATGAAATGCAAATACTGACACATGCTATCTCCAATGCTCCGCATACCCTGACACCCAACACAGTTGCCGAGCTCCGGGTCGCCGAACCCGAACTCCGAATTCGGGACTCGGGACTCAGGCTTCGGGACTCGGTGACCCGGAGCTCGGCAACTGTGTTGGGTGTCAGGGTATCCGGAGCATTGGAGATAGCATGTGTCAGTATCTGCGTTTCATGGTTCATCTTTCGTGATTATGGAATCTTCGTGATTATAGAATCGGCGTCAGGGACTCGGTATTTAGAACACTGTCGAGTCCCAGGTCACGAGCTCCGAGTCCCGAGTCCCGAAACCCAGGTCCCGAGTCCCGAATTTCGGAGTTCGGGGTTCGGCAACCCGGAGCTCGGCAACTGTGTTGGGTGTCAGGGTATCCGGAACATTGGAGATCACATGTGTCAGCCAAACATGAACCATGAAATGCAAAATACTGACACATGCTATCTCCAATGCTCCGCATACCCTGACACCCAACACAGTTGCCGAGCTCCGGGTCGCCGAACCCCGAACTCCGAAATTCGGGACTCGGGACCTGGCTTCCGGGACTCGGTATTCAGAACAGTGTCGAGTCCCGAGTTCACAATGTCGGGGTTCAGGGTTTTTGTCAAATGTGTACGGCAATAACAAATGTTAATTTGAGCATATTGATACATCTTCCCCCAGTCTCAAATATCAAGTGCTGAGGTCCGGGTGTCGGGACTCAGTACCCCGGCACTTGGGACTCCCATATGTCAAGTCCCGAGTTCCGATTATCGAATACCGAGGCTCGCATCCAAATTATTAAGTCCCATATATCACTTCGCAAATGCTCACAATTGAGTATTGAGGTCCAGATAACTATTGGTACATGGTAT